TTTTTTTTTTTTTTTTTTTTTTTGGTAGCAGGGATCAAACTCAGAACCTTGCACTTGCAAGGTAGGTGTGGTGTGAGCTAAATCTCCAGCCCATGCTTTCATTTTTCTTGGGTAGACAGCTAGTAGTGAAATGATAGGGTCATGTGGTAAATGAAATTAGTTTTTTATAAAGCTGCCAAACTTTTCCAGAGTTATTAAATTACAGTTTTTTAATATTTTCACTAACAGTGCCTAAGAGGTAAGTTGTTTTATAGTCTAGTCAACATTTAATATAGTCTTAAAATTTTTAGTAGTCCTTTGAATTTGAGACATTCTAAATGATGTGCTTTTCATGGCCAAATACTGTCCCATTTCATTTCCATTCATCAATGGATATACATTTGAATTATTTCTGGGTTTTTTGGGGGGCTATGAACCCACCCCCAACCCCCAGAAATGGAACCCAAGGCCTTACACATGCTAGGCTTGCACTTTCCAACCAAGTTAATCCTTCAGATCTGCTATGAACATTTGTGTATGTTTTTTTGAGACAATTGAAGTAGAAAATTCCTGAGAAATTTTCAGGTTTATATGCAATAAAGTATGAGTCCAGATAGTACTAATAATTTTTTTAGTATTTGATTTTCAACGTCTAATTCTGTTATTTTAGGCCTTAGCTAAAGAAGATACAGATGCAGCTATTCGATTAATATTACATAGAGAAAATCATGTAATTAAGGTAAGAGTTGACTACAAATCCATCTTAATTAAAACAATTTTTCATTTTCAATGTAGTATACCCTATACAGTTCAGAAAATAGAATTAAAAAACACTCCATAGTACCAGGAATTAACATTAAGGCATCTCTGAGAGTGTTTAATGGACACTTTCTACAAATATTGGGGGAGTTCCTTCCACAGATAACAACATAAGGATGTCCTACTTGCTTGTTCTTTCATCTAATTGGAGTTTCCACTGAGTAATATGAATGAGCTAATCTTTAAACTATGTGATCAGAACACCTGGCTAATAATTAGTTAGCTTCACATTGGTAAGCAGAAGTGTTAACCTGTAGACCGAAGAATGCCATCTCCTTTCTTCCTGAATAACTTCTCATTCATTAAGGCCAAAATACTTATCACTTTGACAGTTTTTAAAATTAAAAATCATTTTGTCATTGTGTTAAAATACGTACCTTATACCAAGTAGTCTCCAACCTTTTTGGCACGAGGGTCCAGTTTCATGGAAGACAGTTTTTCCATGGACTGGGAATTTGGAGTGGGGGGTTTAAACATTTAAATTTAAATTTTTTAGTATTTGGGATACATAATAATGACATTCCTCAGTGCTAGCATCATGCCTCAACTCCACCTCAGATTATCAGGCATTATCTCTCAGGAAGAGGATCCCTCACATACCAAGTTCACACTACGGGTTGTGCTCCTATGAGAATCTGACGCCATGCTGCCAGGAGGTGGAGCTCAGGCAGTAATGTGCATGATGGGAGTCAGTGTAACTACCCATTAAACTTGCTTGCCTGTTGCTCACCTTCTGTGCAGCCTGGTTGCTGACAGCTCTTGCACTAGTACGATCCATGGCCTTGGAGTTGGGGCCCCTGTTGTATACTACATAAGCTTTTTTTTTCAGTACTGGGGCTTGAAACCAGGGACACTCTTATTACTAAGCTACATCCCCAGTCCTTTTTATTTTTTATTTTGAGTAGAATTTCTCACTATGCTGCTTAGTCTGGCCTTGAATTTGCCATCTCCACAGTCTCCCAAGGCGATTTTTGACCATTTGAAGTGTACCATTCAGTGTTTTTGTTTTTTTTGAGACGTGTCTGTGTAGTCCAGGCTATCCTTGAACTCACCCTCCTGATTGCTGGGATTACAGGCATGCACCACCATGTCTGGCCAACCATTCAGTGTTAATTACATTCACAGTGTTAACAGCCATTCAGTGTTAATGGTTTTGAAACCATTACCACTGTCTATTTCCAAAACGTTTTTGTCACCCTGGTCTGAACTTTCGTACTCAATAAGCAGTAACTCCTTATTTAGCTCTCCCAAACCCCTGATAAACTCTAACTTACTTTCTGTCTCTACAGATTTTTCACATATGTGGAATCTGACAGTATTTGTCTTTTTCTGTCTGGCTTATTTCACTTTGGCATATTATTTTCAAGGTTTGTCCACATTGTAGCATCTAGAAGAACTTAATTTCTTTTTATGTCTAAATACTCCATCCTATGTATATGCCACATTGTATTTATCCACTCATTTTTTGTTTTGTTTTGTCTTTTTGGTACTGGGGATCGAACTTGGGCCCTTGCACTTTCGAGGCAGGTGGTGGAACCACTGAGCCAAGTCCTGGCCCTCCACTCACTTGTTGATGTCTATGGGTCATCTTTATCTTCTGGCTCTCAAAATGCAACAATAAACATTGACGTATAAATATGTTTCAGTCTTTGTTTTTAATTCTTTTGGGTATATACCAAGGACTGACATTACTGGATTGTATAGTAATTCTATTTAACTTCGAGAAGCTACCAAAGTAGAAATCCTTTAAGACTCTAGAGAATGGTTTTTCTCTCTTCTTTGTCTTCAGTTACTACATATACAATATGTCCTATATACACATGTATGTGCATCTATACATACATGTATGTATGGCCTACTGTATTGTCCCTCCTCCCATTGTTTGGTAGACTTGTTTCTTAGTCTACCTCTTCAGGGAAAAAAGGCATGGTGTCTCAGTGAATTCCTTCTTTCTAGCATAGTGTGTGTCAAATAGTAGAAAACAAATGAAATATTACACTAATGAATGCATATGTGGGTGATGGTTAGGAATATCAAACAGGAGGTTTAGGAAAATTGTACAGCAAGAAGGTTTTGAGATAAGATACTGTCTTTTTCTGTCACTGTTTCCTAGGACCTAGATAAGTACTTACAACGTCATGACTTCATGAGTACAAGAAGAAAAGAGATGTTACACAGAAGATGGGCTCACCAAGTGGCAGACCCTCTCCACAAGGAAATTATAGAAAAAATCCGTTCACATAAGAAGATTAAGAAAAGGAGACAAGAGGAATTAGGTAGTTTTTTAAAACATGTAAATAAAAAGGTACTAAGATCATTTGATACTTTTAAAAATTGGTTTAGGGCCAGGGATTTAGCTCAGCGGTTCGGTGGCCTGCCAGTTCAATCCCTGGTACCAAAAAAAAAAAAAAAAAAAAAAAAAAAAAATTTGGTTTAAATATTATGAATATTTTTGTTCACTTACTGCTTATTCATCCAAATAGCCTGCTCCTCCTCCCTCTGTGCAAGATCTATGCCTGCTACAGCACATAGTTGTCTTCAATCTGGTGTATGGAAAGGATGGAGGAGGAGGGCTAGGGCTGGATATGACCGTGCACCTTAGGACCATTTTCCTCATAAAATTGTTCATTTTATTTACTGATGTAAAACATAGACCCTTCAGGATGTGATGGGATTTTTCTGTAATCTCAGCACTCTGGGAGGCAGAGGCAGGAGGATCTCAAGTTTAAGCCCAGCCTGGGAAACTTAGTGACTTAATGAGACTCTGTCTCAAAATAATAAAAAATAAGAGCTGAAGATGTAGTTCCTTGTGAAGTCCCTGGGTTCAATCCTTTAGTAACACATCACACACATACACTTTTTTTTTTTTTTTTTTTTTTTTTGAGACAGGGTCTCGCTGTGTAGTTTAGGCTGGCTTTAAACTATGTAGATCATGCTGGCCTTGAACTCAAGGTGATTCTCTTGCCTCAGCCTTCTAGAGTTTTGGGGTTACAGATGTGCACCACCATGCCTGGTGCACACCAAATTTGCACTTCAGGTTTGGATATACTTGCTTTTATTTGGAAACTTGATCTGCAAAACTATTAAATATTTATTTTCTGATATTTTTTAAAAATGGGAGATACTTGCTAATAAGCATTTAAAAATATAGCCAGGCAGAGGACAGAGCTTGGTGGTAGAATGCTGGTAGAGTGCTTTCATTAGGCTCTAGGTTTAATCCCTAATGCAAAAGAAGAAAGGAAGGAAGGAAACGCAAACCTTTTGCTGTTCCAATATTCTTCATTAAAATATTGCAAATTTTAAGTAGATTCCTTCCTTCACTATAATAAACTTGAATAAACCAAATTTAATTGCAAATTTAATCTTCTTTTGCATTTGTCATTAATGCCACTTTGAAGCATAAGAATGAAAATGTGAATTTGAGTCCTGATACTCAAAGAATTACGCATTTTATGTGTGGTTTTATTTCCTTTTTTTTAGGGAAATGCTTTTATAGAACATTATGATCCCAAAGAGTATGATCCTTTTTATATGAGCAAAGAAGACCCTAATTTCTTGAAGGTAGGTAGATTTCTTATTTTAACTTTGATAGTATATGTCTATTTTTTTAGCAACCCTAATGTATAACTTGTCATTTAATAATTCCTTAAAAATTCAGTAATATTTTAAGAATAGTGTATCAGGTTTCCTTTGCCGGGACAAAATACTTGACACCCAGAACTTACAGAAGGAAAGGTTTAGTTTTGGCTCGTGGTTTCAGTCCATGTCTGACTGGCTCTAAGGCAGAGACATCATGGTGGCAGGGCATTGTGGAATAAAGTTGCTCAATCGGTGGCATCCAGGAAGCAGAGAATGAGAGCAAGAGACAAGGGACGGGGCAGGGGGAAGAACACACCCTTCCAAGTCGGCTTCCAGTGGCCCACCTCCTTCAACCAGGTCCTACCTCCTTTCTGCACATTCAGCTCTGAAGTCATCAGTGGGTTAACCCAGCCCCCTTACACATGAGACTTCTGGGTTACTTAGAATGGAACAAAAAGCCCCAAGGTCTTGCTACATATTCCACACTAGCCTTGAACTCACTATGGAGCCCAGGCTGACCTTGAACTTGCCACAGTCCTTCTGCCTCAGCCTCTCCAGTATCGTGATAACACGTGTGTGTGTCACCATGCCCAGTTTTGCTGCTTTTTTGGTACTGGGGATTGAACTCAGGGTCTTGTACTTGCCAGGCAGGTGCTGGCACCACTGAGCTAAATTCCTGGCTCTGCTTCTCTTTTTAATTAATTTTAAAATTTGATTTGTTACTCATATATGAATAGGTCATGTACAGATACCTGAAAATGACAGTGCTGTTTTTGTCTCTTTTGATAGCAAGTTAATGTTTCCTTACCATTTTATAAGTAGCCTTCTTCATAACTTCTTTGAAAGTAAAATTCTAGAGGACAGTCTGATTATTTTTTAACTCTTAAAATTCATGTTATATAACTATCCCAGAAAAACAAATCTGATTATTATTAGAAAGATACACAAGTGACTTTCTAGCCAGACCATGCTAGACCATGTACGTGCCTGTGGCTAAAGACTGTTCTCTTGTGGGGCGCTGTCATTTTGTTATTGATAACACTCCCCATTAAAATAGATTTACTACTTTAATATCTTGGTTAACAGATGCTCTACATTTTGCATAGTATTTTGGCTGTTTTTCATATGGATGTTTCTTAATATAAAATGAATATATAGATATAATTTTTTCTTTTGGACATGGAAAGAATTTTTAAATTTAGGATTATAAGAAAACAATGAAAGAATTTTTGAAGACTGAACCTGTTGAATTAATCAGCTAATCTTGGCTAGAGGGCCTTGTCAAGAAAGGTAGTAGAGTGCCCTCATCTCTTTGCAACATTTTAAATGTTTTTAATGCATAATATAATGGAAATAAACATATATATTTAATAGTTCGATGTGCAATCCAGTCCTAAAGAAGTTTTTTTCTTGTAGCTTATCATCCCACCATTTCATGATCCTTTGAAGAAAGCACAGTATGACAAGGATGATGAAAAAAGAACTCTTCTTCAGTGTGAGACTGGTACTTAGTTCCTAATTCTTGTGTAATTTCAAATCCCAGGAGCAATGGCCATTGCAAGTAAGGGAGCTAATTTGGATTATTAATCTTCCTGCAGGCAAAATATATACAATGAAAGAATTTAAGGAGGTTGAGAAGGCCCAGCTACATTCCAGATTCCCAAGAATTTCTAGTTCAAGGCACTTCCTGACTCCAAATGAATGGCTTAAACTGCCTACAAGATACATAGAAAGTGAATTTTGTAAAAGGAGCAGGTAATTGTTAATAGATTATGAACCTCTTGGACTTTGAGAATTCTTTCCTGAGACAGTGCTATTAATTTTTATATAGTTAGGATTTTAAAATAGTTTACTTTTCATTGAGAAATCTACTATAATTCTTATCTTTATTTCTTTGCATATGATATTTCTTCTTTATTGGGTATTGTGAAGATTTTTTTCTTAATTAGCTAGACTATGATGTGTCTTGGTTTTATTCATTCTTAAGGTTCTCTTGAGATTCTTGTATCCATGCTTTTATATATTTCATTGTTTTGGGGGAAATTCTACACTGTTGCCACTTAAAGTTTCTTCTGCCCCATTTTCTCTGCCTTTTTACCTGAGATGTTAGACAATTGATGATGTCCAAGTTTCATATCTCTTTAATACTCCATTCTGACCCCCACCAGGGATTGAAACTTAGCACTGAGCTATGTCCTTAGTGTGTTTGTTTGTTTGTTTGTTTTGTAATTTTTTATTTTGAGACAGGGTCTTGCAAAGTCACTAAATAGCCCAGGCTGGGCTCAAACTTGCTGTCCTCCTGCTTCAGCATCCAAGAATGCTAGGATTGCAGGTGTGTACCTAGCAGTATGACTTACAGCTAATATCATGTCTGGGTGGTTTTTAAAAATCATCTTTTTTCTATTTGTATTCAGTTAGATGATTTCTATTGACCTAGCTTTAGTTATCTGAGTCTTTTCTTTTCTTCTGTTACCCGGGATTGAACTTGGGTCCTTGCACTTGCAAAGCAGGAACAGTGCCATTGAGCTAAATCCCAGCCTTGTTTTATATTTTTTTAATGCCTTGTGACTTCTGATTGTCAGTCATTTGAGGTAGAGGAACAGTGTAGGTGGAGTAATTTTCTCTAGAAATGGACATACATCTTCTGTCTGGCATTAGTTTGGAAGATTGGATTCATCTAGTCAGAAGCTGATCTGAGTTTGGTTTTGGGGTGAGGCTCTTTGAGACAGGGTTTACTACATACTCCAGGCTCAACTCCCAACTTTAAATCTTCCTGCCTCAGCCTCCTGAGGGCCGGGATTACTAGTATATGTCAGCCATCACAGTGAGTTTGGGCATTTTTATTGCTATTGTTACATTTGGTGCCTCAAATACCTTCTGTGATAGGTTGCTTTGCCTTGTGCTTGAGGAGGGGCCGCTCATGCTGGTATTGGGTAGCTCCCTCTAAAAGTGGCTCACCAATTCAGTGTTACCAGGTTCTGAGTTCCTGGCCTTTTTCTCTCTGGAATTAGATTCGAGGTTCTTCTCATCTCAAAAAAATTGAACAAAATGAGCAAAATGCAGTGGCCAAGTTTATTTGAGAAAGTAAAAATGAAGAGTGAGAAACTGGCTCTGCAGGGCAATCTTGGGCAAAGTAGAAGGAGAAAAAGCAATAAAAGGACACTGGAGAAAGCAGGGCGGGCTGCTGTGAAGAAAGTTATGATAGCAAGCTCTTCTTGGTATCTGTCTCCTTTTATGCTGTCCAGATCTCAAGGAAACCCGGGAGAACATCTACATCTGGGTCCTGAGAGGTGGTGCTGGGATCCCAGGCCTCAGGCTGAAGTCAGGTCTAGGCATCCTATTGAAAATCTGCTCAAGTTCTTAGAAGTCTATGCACAGGGCTTGGGGAACTGTTCTGCTCAAGTGTCCCAGATCTTGTAATTAACAGGTCACATGTACTTCCTCACCAGCTTTGCCACACTCTAATCTCCTGGGTCAGTGCTAGTCATCTTCTGCATCTAAACTTGGTTTTTTTCTTCCTAGTTATAGGAACCATGAGGATTTTTCTTCATCTCTCCAGCACTCCAAGATTCTGTACCTTTCTCTAATCCAGCACTGAGCACTGTCATGTCTTCTAATCTGCCTCTTCCTTAACAATCCCATAAACTAAATTCCTGTCATCACTAATCTATAATAATAATAATAATAACTGATGAGCCACTATGCACCAGGCATTGTTAAAAGCTTTTTTTTTTTGGTACCGGGGATCAAACTTGGGTCCTTGTGCTTGTAAGGCAGGGGGCTGAAGTGGTTCTGCTGCCTGCCTTGCAAGCACAAGGTCCTGAGTTTGATCCCTGGCACCAAAAAAAAAAAAAGAAAGAAAGGCAGGTGGTGGAACCACTGAGCTAAATCCCCGGCCGTAAAAGCTTTTAACATGTACTAATTTTATTTTGGTTCCCCCCCAACACCTTGTTTTGTTTTTTTTTTGAGTCAGGGTTCTGCTTTATAGTTCAGGCTGGCCTTGAACTTGCAGCAGTCCTCTTGCTCAGCCTCCCTAGTGCTAGTTACAGGTGTGCGCCACCATGCTCAGCTCACAGGAATTTGTTTTGGAAGTTTCTGTTACACAGATAATTTATGAACCTTGTAAGTTTTACAGCAATATTTCTCAGTTTGGCTTTATATTAGAATATTTTGAGGACTTAGAAAAATCGTGAAGTCAGGCCATGCCCTAGACAAATGAAATGAGATTCTCTCAGGTGAGAGCTAGACGTCAGTATTCAGATGGTTCCAGTGCACACTGGGTTGAAAACCACTTACTTATAGCCGTAAAGTGGCAGTCACAGACTCCGTAGCCCACATTCTAAGGTATAGACTACACTGTCAGATTTTATGGTAATAGCAGGGTGAACTTGCATGGTGGATTATGTTTCCTTGAAATTTAATTCTCTTTTATGTTCCCATTTCCATTGATTGAGCCTGGGAAACTGAGTTGGAGCCATTCTATGTGTGAATGTAATCAATCTCTATCATGGTTAGTAATCGATTCTATTATGGTTTCAGAAACTCTTGAACAACTAATCTCATCCAAGAAGTATATTGGTTTAACATAAGGGTGATATCGGTATAACAGTAGTTTTTGCATAAATAGAAGCTAGTGTTGTTTCAAAACATCCTCACATATGTTCTCTCATTATAGGTTAAAAGTGAAAGTGAATTTTAATGATAGTAGTTTTGAGTGGAAACCCTTGTCCAGGGCTCCTTGTCTTCTGGAATCCCAGGAAGCAGGAGGAGCAGTTATTTGCAGGTAGGCCTGTTATTCCATTGCTGTCCTTTCATCTCAGATGCTTGGCTATGTTGCCATCCTCTGCCATCCTTACAGAATGCTGGAGTTGGTGTCAAGGCCTCACCAGGCTCCCTTGTGGCCTGGCATCAGGGAGCTCCTACCACTGAGTCTGGGTGAAGGAACGACTTTCTCAGGCTTTTCTATTTTTAAGGAAGAAAAAGCACAGAAATGACAAGCACAGACAGGAGGGAAAAGTGGTTGACAACTTGAACTAAAGTTAATGTTCAAGAGATTTTTAGTTGAATTGGAGTACTAAAAATGAAGTATGTGGGCCAAACTTTAACTCAGTGGTTCTGCTGTCTGCCTCAAATGTTCAAGGTCCCAAGTTCAGTCCCTGGCACCAAAAAAAAAAAAAAAGAAGTTTGGGACAAGTTTTGTTGGGTAGTAGCTGTTTTGATACTGTGCCCATAGAGAAAAGGTGTTAAGAGCAGAGGAGTAATGCATACTACTATGCATGTAAAATGGGATATCTCAGTTAGTTATGGAATTAAAAGTAAGAAATTTTGGGGGCTGGGGATTTAGCTCAATGGTTCTGCCACCTGCCTCACAAGCGCAAGGTCCCAAGTTCCATCCCAGGTACCAAGGAAAAAAAAAAGGAAAGTAAGAGATTTTTGGATCAGTGATGTAGCTCAGGGCCGCTGTCTGCCTGGAAAGTGCAGGATCCTGAGTTCGAGTCCTGGTACCAAAAAAAAAAAAAGATATTTCTCTACATAATTATATAATCTGTCATGCTCTGATTAAAAGTAATGGGATTCCCCAAACATTGCTGGAGAGGGCGTAAGAAATGTAGTAACTTTTGAGCAGAGTTTTGACAGTTTCTCAAAATGTTAAATTATCATGTGACCCAGCAGTCGATCTCCTAGGTTCTTATTTGGGAGAAATGAAAATATATCCATGTTAGGGCTAATAAAGTAATGTTCATAACAGCATTATTCACAATAGCCAAAAAGTAGAAACAATGAAGTTGTTCATCAGCTGATGAACGGGTAAACAAAATGTAGTATATCCATACAATGCAATATCATTTGGCAATTAAAAATAAAGAAGTGCTGATTTATGTTACAGTAATGATGAGCTTTAAAACCATTATACTCAGTGAAGGAATCCAATCACAACCAACCATATATTGTATGATTCCATTTATTTAAAATGTCCTGAAAGCAGATCAGTGGTGACGGAAGATAGGTAGTGGTGCCTAGCGCTGGGAGTGACTGTGAATAAGCTGGAGGTTTGGTGGCTGATGAAAATGTTCTAAAATTAGATTGGGTGATGAGTCCACAGTTCTGAAAACACGCTCAACACCACTGACTTGTACACTTAAAATGGGTTAATTTTATGATATGTAAATTATATCTCAGTGAAGTTACTGACACCCATATAAAGAACCTAGAGCTCTCAGTGTGGGGCTCTCCTGCAATCCTGGCTATTTGAGAGACTGAGGCAAGAGAATTGCCTGAGCCCAGGAGTTTGTGAAAAGCCTGGAAAATATAATGAGATAAATAAAAATGAAAAGCAGAAACAGATGACATTAAAGATAGGAGTTGGCTCTGGTGGATTTCTCAGTGTCCTTGACGTGTAGTTTAATAGTAAGCTGCGATGTCCCTTGAACAGGAGCTGGGATTGAGAGACAGAAGGAAGTACCCATATTAAGCCCTGTGCACTTGGTAGCTGAAGGCCTTAAAAGAAAGAATGATTCAGAATCATTTGTGTATTTTAGGGTCAAAAGAGTAAGCTTCTGTGCAATCCTTCACTGCCATGGTCTCAAAAAGAACTAACATGTTTGTGGAGGAACTTAAGGATAATCAACATTTTAATCCTAATTTCTATAAATGGTATAAAAGGAGAGTTTTTGTCCTCAGATAACTCTTAGAGTAGCAGAGTGTGACCCAGACAGGAAGACAACGCTTTGTTGGTTTACCTGGAGGCTTAACTTTTAAATTAGCTGTGTAAGTCTGAACTTCCTCTGGATTCTCTTCCAGCAATGAGCAAGCTATCCCAACTGTGGCAGCAGGGGTGGAGGAGGTAGGTTTGTCTTTGGCAGACTTAGGCCTTCCCGGGAATAACTTTGTGATAGCTGGGGCGGCAGGTCACGCACAAACTAGACAGCTCTGCGAGGGGTTCATTCACTTTGTGTACGTGTAACAGTTCCCCAAGATGAATGTAGTTATTATATATCTCAGACATACACTAATAAAATAGAAAAATGATATATGAGCAAGGTAATTCTATTAATTTGTGTTTCTTTTCATTAAAACATAATTTATAGTTCATTAATTTCAAATTTAAATCATATATTTACATGGTATTTAAATACAAACATTAAGTGCTACAGTTGAGTGGAGAATTCCTTCTTTCCTGTTTTTCCCTACAGAAACAAAGGGCCGTCCCTCCTGGAAAAAGAACCTTTCTGTTTTCAGGCGGGAAAGAACCCAAGTCCCAAAGAGGCCAACTCTGAAGGGCACTTGTCTTCCCTGGACCTCAGCAGGAAGGAGAAGGGGCTGAAGACCAGGTCACGGTGAGGGCCGGGGTGCTGTGCGAGGCAGCTGATCGGTGCAGCAGGCTTCTGAGATGAGGGGAGGCAGAGGACCCCTCCTGCAGTGGAGGGCAGAGTAGAGGCAGGTGTATTCCAAGGGATGGAGAAAGCTGACCACAGAGGTGCCCTGTGCTGTCTAGGACCTTTCCGGCTACAGCGTTTTCACCTGTCTTTCTACCATCTCTCCACCGTGTGCCACTTATTCCAAGCCAGGACCCAACTTTTGTTCCCTTTAATTCAGTCAGGACAGTTGGTAGGGCATAGTGGCACATGGCCGTCATTCCAGCACTCAGGAGGCTGAGGCATGAGGATTGCTGCAAGCTTGAGGCCAGCCTGGTAACATGGTGGTCATCTGATAGGCAGCCCAGACTTCTGCTTCCAGGTCCGTGTGGTTCCTCCCCTCAGCTCTCTGCACCCCTGTGTCGCAGTGCGCTGGAGACAGCCTCTTACAGTGGCTTTAGAGAAGTTCCAACTTTGCGTCCTCCTCCCGGCTCCCAGTTAGACGGGATTACGTGAAGTCTGTCCATCTGCCTCCCTTGTCTCTCCATTTTCCTATTCCTGCCCCTACAGGGTTTTCACTCACGAAAAGATAGTAAAACTTCTTCCATGTGCTTACCTCCTCAAAAATTTAATGAGCACCTGCTCTGAGCCAGCATTTGAGGGCCTGGAGACACGGTGGTGAACGAAACACAGGTCTCTGGTCCTGTGGAGCTTTTGTTTCGATGGGGAAGACAGACAGTAACCAAACAAATACATAATATCCCGCTGGTCAGGAGTCATTGCAGAGAGACACCAGAGGGAGAGACGGGGCAGCGTGGGAGGTACGTGTGGGGATTGCTTGGAGTGAAGATGTCAGAGAAGGCTTCTCTGAAGAGGTCTCAGGGAAGAGTGTCACAGGCGACAGATAGCCTGATACGGGAATGAGGTGGCCTGTTCAGGAAACAGCAAGAAGAAGCTGGTGGGACTGTGCTGTAGTGGGTGTAGTGGGTGTGGAAAGAAAGGCTGGGAAGGAGGCTGGAGCCCAGTCCGATGGGGTCAGAGGCCACAATAGAATGCACAACGAGAGGGGAAGCCATTTGAAAGTGTTTTGTGCTTTTGAGACGGTCTCAAAATTGTGTAGCCCAGGCTGGCCTCAAACTTGTGGTCTTCCTGCCTCAGCCTCCTGAGTGCTAGAATTACAGGTGTGTGTGATCATGCCTGTCTCATTCAAAGGTTTTGAGCAGGGGAAAAATGTGATCTAAATAACATTTTGAAAAAACAATATGGCTGCTGTAGAACAGATTATACAGCAGCAGGAGCAGAAGCAGGGAGAGCAGTTAGGAGGCCAGAGCTCCAGCCCAGGTGAGAGCCCAGTGGTGTGCAGAGCTGACGGAGCTTGCTCATATTTAACAGCAAAACCAAGACGGCTGGACTCCTAGATTTCTGTCCTGAGGGGCCTCGCTGGTTTATGGTGTTAGTCACCAGCCAGAGAAATTTGAGATGAATTCAGAGAAGTGCAAAAGTAATGTTTTGGGAGCTCAGTCCAAGGTGTCTGTCTCTAACAGTACACCAGAGCATTTGGAGGAGTGGTTACAGAGCCACTGAACTGCTTTTCTTGTCCATTTCGATGTGTGCTGTCCTCCGCCCCGGGCATTCTCAGAAGATAAAGATGGTCTGGTCTTCACCTAAGGTCTCCCCTCCCTAGCCCTGCGGGAAAGCAGAGTGGAGTAGCTGTGGATTTCCTCTCTGTTCAGAGTCCTAGTGGGAGGGAGAGGGGAAACAGGTAACAGGAGCAGGAAACTTCTCACCTGGTGATTCTGTGAAGACCTTTTCACCTGCAAAGCATCTTGCAGACTTGGCAGGTGTTGAAAGCTGGCATTTTCTCTCATGGGCACTTTCAAGTCATCTTCAAAGAAAACTCCTTAGCTGGGGATCTGTCACTCCTTTTCCTTTCCAGCTGTTGCTTCTGGCTGCCTCTGGCCCACAACTCTGGTGGAACCCCACGGCTCGCCTGTGAAGGGATCCCTTGCTCCTCCAGGCAGGATCCAAGGCATCAAGACTGGATTCGTTTTCTCAGCACAGGCCCTTGTCGTCTGACCTGTTACAGGCTGCAGGGTGTTTCTTCACAGCAGCCTCCTGCCTGCCTGCTGCCATGAGCCATTCTGGGCAGCCCTTGGCCTTAGTTTTTAAAATAATATTTTTAATTAGAGAATATTGTTAGTTTTTAAAAATTTTATGATACTATATTGGCCTTAGTTTTTAAAGCAGTGGGTCTGATTTCAGTCTCTGCATAGCTGCGGTCCCAAGCAGAGGAAATTTTGGGTTCCTTCTTCTTCCCTTTGGTGGTGATGTGGGGAGGAACTCAAAACATTTACTTTTGTAAAAAGGAAACAAAAACAAATACAAAATTCCTCTTCTTTTAAACTCCCAACATTTTTACTCATACTATAGATAAGTGGTTAAAAATCACAAAAATCAGTTTGCAATTTGATTTACTCTTTGTCCCAAAGAATGGTCTCCACTCCTCACTTTGGAGCATAGCATCTGTTGGCTAAGAGACAGTGACATAAATCAGGTGCATTTTGGCTCCCTGCGCTCCTCCGTTCAGCCTCCCAGAGGAGCTGTGAGTGGGCAGGTGGATGTACGCGGTGTGCAGGTTGGGGCAGGATGGGTCCATCCAAGACTGGGGAGGTACTTCAGTCACCCTCTTGTAGCTGCTGCTCACTGACATTACGAGGTCACTTGGGCTACTCCTGAGAACGCCAAGGCTAAGAGGCCTCACAGGAGGTAGGGCCAGCAAGAGAATGTAAAGGGGGAATGGGTAGCAGAGAAAGGAGAAAAGCACAGGAGTGGTGCACATAGTGGTACACGACTGTAATCCCAGCATTTTGGGAGGCGGAGGCAGGAGCATTACAAGTTCAAGTCTTGCCCAGGCAACCTAGCCACCTACCTCCGGATAAAAGAAAGTAAAAGAACTACAGATGTAGCTCAGTGGTTCTGCCACCTGCCTCATAAATGCAAGGTCCCAAGTTCCATCCCTGGTACAAAAAAAAAAAAAAAAAAAAAAAAAAAAAAAAAAAAGAAAAGAAAAGGCTATGATCAGGCACATCACAGTACAGGTGAGAGGGTAAGCAATACAAAACAAAGACTGTTCCGTGAGATTTAGAGGTTAAGCAGTGATTCTCAGCAGCCAGGTTACTGTGGAGCCCTTGGAGTGATAGCCCGATTAGAGGGGTTTCTAGAGAGAATGGAGTGAGGATAGAGACAGTGAGAATAGACAGCCCCTCTGTGGGATTTTGCTGTAAAGGAGCAGCAAGATGGGGAGTAGACTAGGGCTGGGGATTTAGCTCCGTGACACCGGGCCTACCTCACAAGTGCAAGATCCTGAGCTCGATCCCCAGGACCTGGGCGGTGGGGGGGGCAGGGACAAGGGAAGGTTTTCCTCAGCTGCTAGGTATGTCCTGTGTTTCCGGATGCATCAGTAGAGAGAGATCAGATGATGCTGGGGGTGATGACAGGTGGAGTTCTTCAGGAGGCGAAGGGTAGGATCTGAGACCCAACTGGAGAGCAGGACAATCTGCGTGGTAGGAGAAGGGAGGCCAGAGAACATGGATGTACAGAAAGCAACTCGGTGAATTTTGTGAAGAAAATTGTTCACTTCAGTTTCTCAGTGAAGTAAAAAAAAATCATTGGCTGAAGAGATTTAGAAGTTTGAAGAGAGGAAGGAAGAAAGGAAATCCAGTATTTTCTAAATCACGAGGATCTGAGTACACAGCATGTGGACCTCTAGAAGCAGGATCGTCAGGGGTCCCCCAGTGATACCACGAGTGATCTACTCCATCCATGTTGAGGCTGGCTCCTGCTTGTAAGGGCAAGGACCTGAGTTCGATCCTCGATACCAAAAAAGGCGGGGGGATTTAGCTCAGTGGTTCCACCACCTGCCTCGTACAGCTGACTGTGTTCCTGCATCTCTGGGTGTCCTGGATCTAGACGCCAAGGTAAGGCTGATGCAGGAGGTTTAGGTGGAGAACCAGCCTGTGAGATGAGCCACTCAGCTTTGGCAGAACCATGTTTCAGCTTAGCTGGGGACCTCTTCCTGTGTCACATTCCACTCTTTCTTTGGTCACTTTCTAAAGGTTTCAGCAACCAAGGACCACATATCCTGATATCTGACCTGTGAAGGGGACCCAAAGAAGGCTGCTCCCAAGGAAGTTAATCCGTTAGCAGGAGCCCTTCGGGGCAGGGTTGGAGAAGCCACTCAGGAAGTATTGTGTCTCTAAGAAAAGGAATCTGCATAAACTTCATTTCATTTTTTAGTCTAGTGCCTATGATAATCAGGAAAAGGCGGTACCATGTATTGAGTCATTATAAATGTATTTTCCCTAAGAGTTCAAAATATTGCTGAGAGGTTCAATAAAAATAATAGCGATCTTAATGAGTGCCGGTCTCAATTCCTTAGGTTTGGTCCTAAGTTAAGGCACACTTCCTTTGATCAGGCACCTTAAAATCTACACCCACATACCCTCCACAGGCTTTTCCAAGATTCTTTAGAAAATTCAAGAATTCATTTTGGGTGTGATTATTCACTTTCTGATTCTTATTCCACATATATCACCTCTGGCTCATGTTGAGTTTCAATCCTAGGACACAGAGCAGGAGAGAACAGAATTTTATTTTTCTTAGGCAAAGGGGACCCCATGGGACTTTTTTTCCCACAGAAATCAGACTCAGCCTCACACTTGCCAAACAGGCACTGCGCAGCTGAGCTACATCCCCGGGCCCCATGGGACTTTTAAGAACTGGAAGATTCTGAATTCTTCAGTCTGTCCCACATACAGTATAATTGTCAAGAGTGCTCTGTTTCCTACATAAAATGCTCTAACTTCTACAAAAAACAAAATTGGCATCCTTGTCAATCTAACAAGAGTTATAATTCAGCAATCTACAAGATCAACTTATGCACCTGGGGACCATAGACAGAATGGGGTTATTCAAAATGGACT